CCAGAAATGGAATAACATAATAAAAGTAGCAAAATTTACTATTTTCAAATTTTTCATATTTTCCATAATTTAAGAACTCAAGCAATCCATATATAGCAAAAATTACATTTCATGAACAGAATTGTGGAATTGAGAGCAATTTCAAAATTGTCTTACTTTTTTTGATACACCCTGTATATGAAAGCAATACAGCTCATCGTATAGCCAGGGCCGCCGAGAGCTTGGCGGGGCCCGTGGCAAAAATTTTTTAGGGGCTCCTATTGCAAAAAAAGTTTCCGGAAAAAAATTTTTCGGACAATAATTTCTTTTTAGGTGCGTTATAATTGCTTTCGTTGGACTTTTCTGCAATTTTGCATACCAAATTTCGGTTCATTGCCCCCTAAACACAAAGAAAAAATTACTGGGGCCCATTAATTTTCTAACATTAAATTTCTAGGGGCCCCCAGAGCCTCGGGACCCTGGGCAATTTGCCCACCCCCCCTCCCTGCCTCCCCTCTCGGAGGCCCTGCGTATAGCTGTGTTCTGTGACCAAAAAAGTTGGTTAGAAAACGAAGTTTGTCGCATCCCTTCGGGCACTACTTTAAAATTACATAAATTTATAGATTCAATATGAAATTGCAAAGATTCTTTAATCAAGAATTTTACAGATTCTAAACTTGTGTTGCTCAATTTTTTATCAACAACGAACAAGGAGCGCACGATATTCGATAGATCTTCAGGACCCAGATGTGTTTTATTTAACACAAATTGACCATTGGCAGCAGTTCTTTCAAAAACTAGCTCATGCACGAAATCTGAACTTTTTCCTGTGGGGCATTAAGTGCTATGAGCATTAAGTGCTATCATACGTTAAATTTGTTCGCGCTAAATCTTTCTATACACTTTTTTAGATCTAACCGGGAGCGCTGCGAAAAATGGAAGTAATAGGCCCTTTGCCTTCGATTCCGGTATAATGCTCTAATGAGCTGTGCTACAGAGACCAATTGCTAAGCCTCACCACAGATTCATGTATATATATAATCGAACCTGCCAGAGGGCTGTTGCATTTTTTGCAACTGCTCCTGGTTGTTAGGTCTAAAAAAGTGTATAGAAATTTAGGTTCGAAAATTCAATCTAAAAAACCATTCACTATTAGTTGTATCGAACGAGATTCCCAAAATGTCGATATAAGAATCTTTATCAATCTACTCTTTGCAATTTCATATATAATTCAACAATAAACCCAAAAGCTGATGCAATATATCTCACGCCACCGCTCTGCGAGATAAGTCCACATAACAGCGACTTTTTCTAATTTTTTGACGAATTATGTTAAATTTGCTTTGTAAATGGTTAGCTTATTCTGAAAAATTGCTTTTCACATTGTTTTAATTGTCTGCATTGGTTAACGAGAATTAGATGCCACCCAAAAATGGCGGATATTCGTCATCGTGAGAAAGGCTAATTATTGACGATTTACTGCATATAACCGCGTGATAAGAGACTGGAATTGGTGCAATAATGTTAATACAAAATGTTGATCTTTCATCGTAAAGTACAAAGAAACTTCAGGTTTTTACGAGTGACAACAAGTTAATTCATACTCAGCATATAAAAATCTATAGATTCATGTAGATTTAAAGTTGCGCCCGAAGGGGTGGGAGGGGGGAGACAGAATTGAAACCAAATCACAGAATACGACGTATTACGTACATCTCTGTAATGGATGGTTCAATTCTTCCTGTTACGATCCCCCCAAATATACACCGACGGAATTTTGTTGAGCATCTGGTCCAGGTGTCCCGTGGGGGTAGGGGTTAGGAATACACATGTTCACAGGCGAGGGGCTTTGGGACTCGTAGAAAAATGCAAAACATTGCCCACTTGCACTCCAACTGTTTTTTCTTGCATATTTAAACATTCCTGTAGATCACAGATTGCGTTGGAAATTGGGAGAAAAAATGCTTCGTTTAACACTGTACTAACATCGCTTTGATAGCCCTAGTGAACACATTCTATCACTTAGTGAATGCCTTTCAAATGTCGACATTCGTGAAATTTTGATAACGTGTTCGTGTACAATATTGCCCATGGGAGGGGAATTGGCTTTTCTTTATTTGCCCAGAGGTGGAGAATTGACAGTTTAGGAATAAAGAATACATAAATCCCCGGGGGGAGGGGCGAAAACGAAGGTTTTCAAAAACGCGGACGGCATGAACGCAATCATGCGTGGTGTGTTGTTTTTCTGAATTTCATATGAATTGCTTGACTTGCACTGGATAAAAGGATGATTAATCTGCAAGCATAACTCGCAAAGACAACATAGTGCGCTATACACTATGTCCTAGGTTATGAGTTAATTTATTTCCGAGATTGTAAAGCCACTAGAGAAGCTCTATTACCGGCGATGTTTTTAGGTCCAACCTCGACGAATTTGTCTCTTTCTCCGTAAAAATGTTCCGGGCATTCTTGTAAGATTTTTGCATGAATAACGGTAAAATGAATGAAGATCGAAAATAATAAAATATTATCGTTTTCTAAGTGCTAGTGTGGTGAAAAAAAACGATCCAAAACCGCTACTGTGGACGCAGATATTTGTATGCGTTTTCGAAATATCAAAAACGAAGGGATTCGAAAACGGATTAGTCTAATAGTGTGGACGTAGCCTACCTTCCCAATACGGATACCTCTCTAATATGAATACCTTAGTTTCACTATAGTTGGCCGTATACATGTATATAATAATTATGCTTTATTCTTATTCAGAAATTGAACGCCTTCTGAGAGATGGAATGATTTATGTGGAGTTCAAGTATGCCTGGCACTCGCATTTAGAAGAAACGCTTAAGTTTTGGCCAGATTATGAAATGCTAAAAATGTTAGAAGACTGTTTAAAACATGGAGCAAACCCAAGCAACAGAGGAGGTGCGGGGGTAACTGCCCTAATGCTAACGTGTAAGAACCTAAGTGGTCGTAGCCGGGATTCAACTGCAGTGGAACAGGTGATGTCGTTACTCCTGGATCACGGAGCTGAAGTGAATCAACAGGATTTTTATGGACGTACTGCGCTTCATTATGCATTTAAATCCGAATATGACACTGAAGCAAGGCTTGCTCGAAAACAACGTGTTGTTCAAATCCTTATTCAGCACAACGTAGACATTTATTTAAAAGATTCGTCTGGGCTTTCCGCCTTTGACATGGCTAAGCGTGAGGGACACGAATCTTGGTTAAGAACCGATGAAGCATGAATTGACGGTTCCATAACTCGATAAGCCCGCTCTAATCTGAACAAGTCCCTTATTCAACAGAAAGCAAGACTCGTACGAGATCTGATAAAAATAAAGAACTTGATGCTATCACTTGGAACCCCAAAACTAACCTTAGCGACCAAAGCACGTACACGTTTACACTGGAAATTTCGAAGAATTGAATCAACTCCAAAAAACTTATTCCGTGACCGTTTTTGGTGACCACTTTTGCAGTTGATTCATTTGGAAATTTACAGTTAGGTTATACAATTAAGTAACAATATATATAGCATTTGTATATAGGCAGAGAGTAACAGATGATGAACTGCATCGCAATACAATTAAGTAACAATATATATAGCATTTATATATAGACAAAGAGTAACAGATGATGAACTGCATGGGAATACAATTAAGTAACAATTACGTGTTTTATGCTGGGCATTAATATTTATCCTAAGATTACGATTTCCGCCTGGTTCATCTATCGTAAGTAACAGTATATATAGCATTTGTATATCAGGGCAAGAGTGACCAGACATTGAACTGGTAGTACAATTAAGTAGCCTAACAATATACAGGGTGTATCAAAAAAAACTGAACAGATTTGAAATTGCTCTCAATTTCGCAAAACACCTATTTGTATCCGGTGTTTTATATATATAGCTTCTTTGGGTACTTATAATGTAGAATAATGAAAAAAATTTCTCGAACTCAAATTTTATGAACCAGGGGGGTGTGTCTTTTCCAACAAACTAAAAATGGCTCGCGCACAAAATTTAAAAGCTGTAATCATATTTTGAGTTAATAGATGGAACCTTTGTCGGGTTTTTAATTACTGTACAAAATTTCAGACAATTTGGTTTAGTTTAAGCCCTTTAACTATTCATTTTGTTCTAAAAAATCAGCCTTTCGCATGCTTAATTAATGCTTTTACCTAATTTGCATATGCAAATTAGGCAAATGCATTAATTAGCATGCAAATAGCTGATTTTTAGGAAAAATGTAACTTTGCGTGAATAGTTAAGGGGCTTAAACTAAACCAAATTGTCTGGAATTTTGTACAGTAATTAAAAACCCGACAAATTTTCCATCTATTAACTCAAAATATGATTGCTGCTTTTAAATTTTGTGCGCGAGCCATTTTTAGTTTGTTGGAAAAGACACACCCCCCTGGTTCACAAAATTTGAGTTCGAGAAATTTTTTTCATTATTCTACATTATAAATACCCAACGAAGCTATATATATAAAAAACCGGATACAAATAGGTGTTTTGCGAAATTGAGAGCAATTTCAAATCTGTTCAGTTTTTTTTGATACACCCTGTATATAGCATTTGACATTTGTATGTTTCATAAATTTCATGTAGTTTTAAAGCAGTTACTGTTAACATTTTGAGACGTGTACAATATATAGCTAACACTATGTAGTTGCATATTCATAAATTTCATGTAGTTTTAATTAAAAGCAGTTATTGTTAGAATTTTGAGAAGTGTATAAAATACATAGCTAGCACTCAGGGCCGCACAGAGAAATTCGAGGGCCCGGGGCAAATTTTTAATTCAGGGCCCCTATTTAGGGGGAGTAAAAAAATTTTCTCAGACATATCCAAAAAAAAAGGTTCAAAAAAATTTTCCAGACAAATACCAGCAAAATTCAGGTCTAAAAGATTTCTCTTACACCATGACTTATATAAAAAACGTTCCAAATTATTTTTTTTAATTACATTTTTCGGGTCCCCCCCAATTTTGCAAATTTTGAGGCTCCATTTAACTGGGGGACTGGGGCAAATTGCCACCTTTGCCCCCCCCCCTTTGGGCGGCACTCCTAGCACAAGTTGCATATTCATAAATTTGTGGTTTTAAAAGCAGTCACTGTCAAAATTTTGTGATGTGTTTATTTGTCCATTAAAGTTAAAGAACACTGAAAATATCAGCACTGTGGAGGCAAATTTGTTCTGTGGACCATGACGTATATTTATAATGGTCTAATGAAAGAACTCATTTGTTAGTCTACAAACCCACGTTTCCCATGTTGGATTCGTAGACTTCCATTTGGCCCGCACAGTAGTGATAAATTCATATAATACTGTAATTTATACTATAGTTTTTCTCAAACTTTAACCTCTGATTTTAAACTCTTATCTTTGACAAAAGATAAAAATACATTTAGTGGCTGCCGAGTTCATTTGTGGGTAATTAATATATAAATTGGCAAATTATTTTGACAATCGGTTACTATTAAATTATTTTGGCCCTGATTATCATCGGTATAATCATTTATAAAAAGCTATATATATAGTAGAAATTTCCATTCGGAAGTGAAGAACAGCAAAATGTACATGAGCCAAGTTGGGTTTTGCCAGAATGACCACATGTTACAATTGAGTTACAATTACATTGGTAAGAAAACTTTGAAAAAATGGCAAAAGGCAATTTCTTTGAAAGTGAATGTTTGCTTGTTGTATGAGAACATATTTTAATTATTAAAACAGTCCACATAGAAATTCTAACAAACTGTCAGTTAAAATAATATTCAAATACACATCAAGTACATTTGACAAAATATGCAAGAACAGCACAGTTATATATTCATATAACATGCTGTTTATAATGCCCCCCACATGAAATTAGTTTTTCACTTTGAGGATTTTTTTATACTTTATTTCATACTCTGAAACAAAAGTATGAAGCTGGTAACAGATGAGTGAGTTACATATGGCAAGTATTTAACAAAGAAGATACGTCCGAAGGGGCCGAAGTTATGCACATATCAACGGCCTGCCCTGGGGGTACACCCCCGGGACACCCCGGGACTTTGAAAAAACATGATTCTAATGCATTAATTCCCCCTCCCTCGGCCCCCGGGAAATGTGTAAGTCAAACTGCCCTCCCCCTGGGGCTTAGAATAAAGTAGTTCATATTATAAATAGCATACAAACAATTAAAAATTCAGGGTGTTAGCTAGCCCATATACTGTCCGTTTGACGGACTCTTCCCAATTGAAGTAGTTAAGGGGCTTTCCCAACTGGGTCTACTGGAAGATTTTCATTTTTTCTGATGAGAATGTGCATTGCATTTGATTTTATATTATTATATCAAAGAACGTTTTATTTACTTTTTCCATTAACTATTTTCTCAAAATGTATCACGTTTCATTCATATTGGGTGTGTATTCACTGAAATGAAATGTACAAAACAAAGTGCCTGCATCGGTGTGCATCCGTGTTCATTCACCGGAAATGAAATAGAAAAAACCAAGCCACTGTTGTTTGCATCTAAGAAGAAACACGTTGGAAAAAACACTATTTATTCCTACACAAGGACTTTGATCGGTCAAATTTTTTTTACCAATTTACGTTCAACGGACAAAACGTTTTTTTCTGGCTAACACCCTGAAATTATCATACAAACTGGGGTATCACAATGGCACTCATGTATTCTGTATTTATTTATTCAAATTTTAGCAAGACCACTACAAAATATCATAAATAATAAGTTGGCGATCGATATTTTTCTTCGTGAGCCTGCGATTTTTAGTTTGCACCAATTGTTCACTTCATTTATAAAATTCAAATTGTCATGTCAAAGTCCCCTACTTCCCTTCCCCCCGTCGTCCTATTATTGCGAAGTTTGTAATTTCCCCGGGGTTCACGGGCAAAATACACGGCTAAAATACCAAATTCCCCCTCGTTTCCCCCCGGTTGTCCCGGGGGTGTACCCCCCGGGCAGGCCGTTGATATGTGCATTATGATCGGCGAAAGGTATGGGCTAGTCTCAAGGCTGCCACTCGTAGGGGGATTCCCCTACAGTAGGGGATTATCACCTCTTGTAGGGAGTAGGGAATACCTACGGGGAAAATGGTAATTTGTAGGGGAACGTAGGGGGTTTCTTTTACGGTTTACCTACAAAAGTCGTATTTCTCTTTTTGTGATTATCCAAATCAGTTCTTCCGTAAATTTCAATATTTTATGGCTTCTATGGAGTATGGAACATTGTATGGAACTGCAGGATTTTTTATGGAAACTAAAAATTTAAATTTGAATGTGGAAGCACTGAAATATCATGTGATGAGTATGGTGATGAGTGATATTGTATTTTCCCAGGAGAACCTTCACGCGAAAAAAGTGCAGCCAAAAACATGGCGGATTTTGGCCTTTGCTGACGGCATTTCCATGACAACTGGTCCGAAATTCTCACCACTGACCAGGCTCGGATTTGAGCCCGCTACAATTTCCACACCCCCTGGTTATCTGAAAAAACTTTAGGTTTTTGCAATTTTGCTCGGGTTTTACAGTAATAGGGAGTTTGAGCTTCACGTTTGCGGGAGCGCCAAACGGCAAGGCCGACTTTTCTTGGCATAAAGTCGTTCGATTTCTGCGTGTCATATTTTCCTTCATATGAAACAACAAGCCCATTTACTTTTTATCGCTTTTTATCGTAGAATTTTTCTTTGCCTGACGTTCGTCGTTGAACGTGAAGCTTAACTCTCTATTGTGTAGTAAGTATAAGAGCAGGTCCTCCAGTTATTATACAGCCCAGTGTATTTTCCCTACAAATATACAATATTAGTGGGGAAAATACAATATTTGTAGGGGAACGTAGGGGAACATTGGGGACAATTGCATATCGTGCTGTAGGGGAAACGTAGGGGATTTCAGTGCCCGCCATAGGTGAAAATAGGGAACGGAGAGTGGCAGCCCTGGCTAGTCTATATTTTCGTTCAGACAATTACATGCGTATTAATTTGATAATATACTATCTCGCTTGACTTTCAAAGGCCATAAATCGCAATAATGTTGACATTTTACTAAAACTATCGATGGAAATTAGGAGATATTTCTTCACTGAATCGAACAGTGGGATTTCCATATAGGCCTATCAGTCATGTTCTGAACC